ATATCCCCCCCTTATGTATTATACATGGTGATCATATCCCCCTTATGTATTATACATGGAGGATCATATCCCCCCTGATGTATTATACATGGAGATCATATCCCCCCTTATGTATTATACATGGTGATCATATCCCCCCTGATGTATTATACATGGTGATCATATCCCCCCCTTATGTATTATACATGGAGATCATATCCCCCCTTATGTATTATACATGGTGATCATATCCCCCCTTATGTATTATACATGGAGATCATATCCCCCTTATGTATTATACATGGAGATCATATCCCCCCTTATGTATTATACATGGAGATGATATCCCTCCCCTTATGTATTATACATGTTGATCATATCCCCCCTTATGTATTATACATGGAGATCATATCCCCCCTTATGTATTATACATGGTGATCATATCCCCCTTATGTATTATACATGGTGATCATATCCCCCCCTTATGTATTATACATGGTGATCATATCCCCCCTTATGTATTATACATGGTGATCATATCCCCCCTTATGTATTATACATGGTGATCATATCCCCCCTTATGTATTATACATGGAGATCATATCCCCCCTTATGTATTATACATGGAGATGATATCCCCCCCTTATGTATTATACATGGTGATCATATCCCCCCTTATGTATTATACATGGAGATCATATCCCCCCTTATGTATTATACATGGAGATCATATCCCCCTTATGTATTATACATGGTGATCATATCCCCCCTTATGTATTATACATGGTGATCATATCCCCCCCTTATGTATTATACATGGTGATCGTATCCCCCCTTATGTATTATACATGGTGATCATATCCCCCCCTTATGTATTATACATGGAGATCATATCCCCCCCTTATGTATTATACATGGTGATCATATCCCCCCTTATGTATTTACATGTATGATATATCCCCCTTATGTATTATACATGGAGATCATATCCCCCTTATGTATTATACATGGAGATCATATCCCCCTTATGTATTATACATGTTGTTTGATCATATCCCCCTTATGTATTATACATGGAGATCATATCCCCCCTTATGTATTATACATGGTGATCATATCCCCCCTTATGTATTATACATGGTGATCATATCCGCCCTTATGTATTATACATGAGATCATATCCCCCCTTATGTATTATACATGGAGATCATATCCCCCCTTATGTATTATACATGGAGATCATATCCCCCTTATGTATTATACATGGAGATCATATCCCCCTTATGTATTATACATGGAGATCATATCCCCCCTATGTATTATACATGTAGATCATATCCCCCTTATGTATTATACATGGAGATTATATCCCTCCTTAATCTTCTCTTCTAAAGAGAGAATAAATTCAGTTCCTCTAATCTTTCCTCATAGCTGATCTCCTCCATGCCTCTTATCAGTTTGGTTGCCCTTCTCTGTACTTTCTCCAGTTCCCCAACGTTCTTTTTGTGAAGGATTCATGATGAAAGAAGGTTTTGTGACTTTCAGGCTTCATTCGCATGAACAGTGAAGGGATGGTAAAAGCAGGCGGTTGACCCTTGAACTACAAAACCTCCAGAACTGAAACTCAAATCTTTTGGCAACCAAGGCCATCAGTTTGCTCATTCTTTCTGTTCGGAAGCTTCCAGAGTTAGTTTGCATGGAATTCAGTTTTATTCCATTATGCCAGAAATGTACTAGTCCCTTAACACAGCCTAGGGGTGGCTCTTCAACTGGGATTTAACCACTTGCCTACCAGGCACTATTACCCCCTTCCTGCCCAGGCCGATTTTTCAGCTTTCGCAGTTTTCGCTCATTGAATGACAATTGCGCAGTCATGCGACACTGTACCCATATGAAATTTTTATCATTTGTTTCACACAAATAGATATTTATTTTGGTGGTATTTAATCACCACTGGGTGTTTTAGTTTTTGCTAAACAAATGAAAAACATTTTTAACAAAAAAAAGTTTTTCTTAGTTACTATTATAACATTTTGCAAAACAGGTAATTTTTCTTCTTCACTGATGTGCGTTGATGAGATTGCACTGATGGCCACTGATAGGCACAATTAATGGGCACTGATAGACACAACTGATGGGCACTGATAGGCAGCACAGATGGGCACTGATAGGTGGCACTGATAAGTGGCATCGACTGACATCGCTGATGGGCACTGATTGGCAGCACTGATGGGTACTGACAGCACTGCTGGACACTGTCTGGCAGCACTGCTGGGCACTGATTGGCAGCACTGATAGACCCTGATTGGCATTGATGGGCACTGTTGGGGCTGCACTGATAATCACTGTAGATGCCCCCCTTTCACACTTGTGGTTATCGGCAGTACTCTCCTCACACTGGGCAAAGTACTGCTGATAACCTGCAAGTGTGTTTACATTATGATCAGCTGTGATTGGACACTGCGATCACAGAGAACGCCGGGTGTGTGCCCTCCCAGAACTGGACGACTGCACTGTAGCCATCAATCAGTTATAGTGCAGTGAGCAAGTGGTTAAAATGGTTTTAAACCCTGAAATGAAAAATGAACAAAGCATATTCTTCTATAGTGTGTAGTTGCCTCTATCCAAAGTACCTAGTGTGAATTCATTCTCCTCTCTCATTCCTCTCCTATCTGCATAAATCGTTTCTGACACAGTCTATGCTGACACCAAGCAAGCCTAGGAGATGGCCCCACCCCCCAGCACAAAGCAGGCGATTGACAGCCTTAGCTGTGCATGTTTGTGTAGAGAACTCAGTTCTCAGATTACACTCAGCTCCCTGCTCTATGCTGTGCAGTATGTGACATCAGACCGCTGCGCCCTGCCTTCTGGAGCTCAGAAATATTTACTTTGAACAGCTGTAAAGGGGAGGGGGCTGCAGATAAACAGGTACAACTTATGCAGCAGGTTTTGTTTCATCTTCGTGTATCTCAAGAGGCCAGTCACTTCACTGGACATATGTGAGGGTTTATAGCCACTTTACGGCCTGGGAGGTGGCACTGCCTCTAAATCATTCGACTGCTGGGATTGGCTCCCACTGTAGGCACATGATCGGGAGCCCATTTTGCTGACTCCCAATCAAAAGTCATGACCAAGAGCTGTTGCTGACAGCTCAGTCAGTGTGCTGAAAGTGCACTCCCAACACATAATCTCAGGTCGTCGTGGGTGCAAATGTGCGGCAGCTGGATGTTAAAGGTCAGTTTCTATGTGTTACATGGTTAGCAAGATGTTAATATACCAAAAACTAGAAATGTAACATATTGCAGATTATCAATCATTAGATGTGTTGGCTGCATTTGGTTTCTTTTCTTTGGCATTTTTCCCCCCTCTGTTCTCACCTGGTTATCTGGCTAGTAACACATAGGCATCACTACAGATTACAGCATTGTCAGTCTCGGGGGAGGGAAGTGTTAAATGTATTAGTAGATTTAATTACACTAACAAATTGAAGCCAAATTCCAGCTCACACTTTACAATCAGTTACAGAAAAAAAGTTTTATTTTTCTTTAAGGAGAAAGTTTTTGCATGAATAAATAAAATCTGATCATTGCAATCACCCCTGCCAGTGTTAAATGGTTTGTCTCATCCATGTAAACTGATACATTCTGCTGGAGAGCTTGAACTTGTGAAAAACAACAGACTTGATGGCTGGATCACCAGATGAAAATGGAAGAAAAAAGGCCTAAAACAAGAAACTAATGCAGCCATCACATCTAAGAATCGGTAAGCTGCAAGAAAATAAATCTTTGCATTAGGGTTTAACACTGCTTTAAAATATAGATGAGCTCTTTGCACTGTTTGAAAAACAAAATAGTAAGAATTGAAATACATTTTTTTCTGGGAGAAACACAGGGGCTGCCATTGGCTTGCCAATGGTCAATGATCACTTTTCATGGTGCTATATAAGTTCCTGAAATAAATAAATAATGGGGGGGGGGGGGGGGGGTAAATGCTCTGGAGGGCAAGTGGTTAAAAAATCTGGTTCATTATCATTTTTTTTGCATTGCCCCACCTAGTGGTTTAAGAGCTGCAAGACAGTGATTGATGTTCCGTGTCAGTTTCCACACCTCCATCTGAAATGCGACTCTTTGGTCTTTATATATATATATATACTATTCATTGTTTTACGATAAGCACCAGAGTTTTGTATCAGATTTACCTTCCCGAATTAATTTCCTTGAAGCCTTGCTACAATTGCCTGACCCTCATGGCGTTATCATTGACTCCTAAGGCCGTTTCCCTATGTCCCCGGGATGTAATCCTGTCTGCATCTCTCATGCTTTCTCTACAATTGTGAGAATGCCCCAACGTCAGGCCTTTTTAACAATCCATTTTATTTTTACTCAAAGCTGCAGTTTCTCATCGGAAAATGTGTTTTGTTGCTATCTGAAAAATGTCTCTGGACGGAAAAGAGGGAAGACACGCAGACCACTTAAAATCAGTCTGCTGCATAGAGAGCCCTGTCAATGGGATTCATGCAGCTGGAATTCTCCTGGAATCCGTGCGAGTTTATGATATATTTGGGTTCCTATTAGGCTTTTTGGAACTATTAGATGTTGTAAAATAAATAAATAATGGAGGAGGGACGTGCCGTCATCTATCTTTTCAGATTGACTTGGCTTTCTGGTTCTTGTCTTGTCACTTCACTGTAAATAGAATGAGGCTTTCCCAGCAGGAGAGGGCATCTCTTTATAATGAGCCGCATGCAGATTGAAAAAGCCGTAGAATAGAATAGAGGTCTCCAAAATTCTCAGTGCAAGGAGCACGTCTTGTATTTCACAAATGTCACAGGGCCAGTGATGTATTTAGTTGTTGTGCTGCCATTAAAATTGGGCGTCCCCCCACTACCGACACCAGCAATCTCACCACCACCCCTCCAGCCCCTACCACTGCCACATTCAGCCAACCACCTCTCTCCCTGGGCCGCCGCCACTCTCCGCCAATCTCCCCCCCATGTCCCCCACCACCAGGGGTGGACTGACCATTTTGAAGGCCCGGGGTCAGTAGGGGGCCCCATGAGATGCCCCTGGTACCTTTTTCATAGGCTTTTTTGAGTTTGGGCAAGGACACAGGGGCCCCATGATCCCCTATTGCCCAGGGGCCCCATGAGTTGTCAGTCCGCCCCTGCCCTCCACTGTCACTCTCTGCAAACCACCCCCGCCAGGCCACTGCTGCCGCCACTCTCTGCCAACCACCCCCCGTGGCCAGTGATGTATTTAGTTCTTGTGCTGCCACTAAAATTGTGCGTCCCCCGACTACCGACGCCAGCAACCTCACCACCACCCTCCAGCCCCTACCACTGTCATCCTCAGCCAACCACCTCTCTCCCTGGGCCGCCGCCACTCTCCGCCAATCTCCCCCCCATGGCCCCCGCCACCAGGGGTGGACTGACCATTTTAAAGGCCCGGGGTCAGTAGGGGGCCCCATGAGATGCCCCTGGTACCTTTTTCATAGGCTTTTTTGAGTTTGGGCAAGGACACAGGGGCCCCATGATCCCCTATTGCCCAGGGGCCCCATGAGTTGTCAGTCCGCCCCTGCCCTCCACTGTCACTCTCTGCAAACCACCCCCGCCAGGCCACTGCTGCCGCCACTCTCTGCCAACCACCCCCCGTGGCCAGTGATGTATTTAGTTCTTGTGCTGCCACTAAAATTGTGCGTCCCCCGACTACCGATGCCAGCAACCTCACCACCACCCTCCAGCCCCCCTACCACTGTCACCCTCAGCCAACCACCTCTCTCCCCGGGCCGCCGCCACTCTCCGACAATTCCGCCCCCATGGCTTCCGCCACTGTCACTCTCCGCAAACCACCCCGTCACACCACTGCTGCCGCCACTCTCTGCCAACCACCCCCCCTTGGCCAGTGATGTATTTAGTTCTTGTGCTGCCACTAAAATTGGGTGTCCCCCCACTACCAACACCAGCAACCTCACCACCAACGTCCAGCCCCTACCACTGTCATCCTCAGCCAACCACCTCTCTCCTCGGGCCACCGCCACTCTCCGCCAACCCCCCCCCCCCCCCCATGGCCCCGCCACTGTCATTCTCCGCAAACCACCCCCACCAGGCCCCCACTTCGCCACTCTCTGCCAACCACCCCCCTAGCCAGTGGTGTATTTAGGTTTTGTGCTACCCTAAGCAACACAAAAAATGTCTGCCCCCATGGACACCGACCACCAACACCCCCCCCTACCCCCTCCCGGGGAGAGAGCCTGACATTGACCAACAACACCACTGCCCCCCACCTGAAGGAGCTTTACACTACCCCCCCGGCGAGAGAGAAAGACACTCATCTTCACAGCTCTGGACATTTCCAGGAACTACAGTAGAGTCAGGCTCTACATACACCATCAAGCAGCTTGCAGCCTCTCTCAGATCCCACCTGGTTCCTATGACATGTGTGTCCCTTCTGTCATCCCTTCTTCTAGGAAAGGGGGTGCTGCCCCCCTGAAAAATGCCGCCCTAGGAAAGTGCCTTGTTTGCCTTGTGGTAAATACGCCCCTGCCCCTTGCCCCAGCCACGGCTACTCTCCACCAACCCCCCTCCCCCCCCGGCAGAGAGAGAGAAAGTTAAGGCTGGTTCACACTATAGAAATGCAGTCCAGATACATTTCGAATGTATTTTTGCATGAGCGTTTATGACGCGTTTTTGGCGCATTCCGGTGCGTTTTTTATGCGTTCCAGTGCATTCCCCCCCTCTCTTTTTTTTCAATTTAAATAGGGACATGTGAGTTCCAGTGCATTTTTGGTGCATTTTGGTGCATTCCAGTGCAGTCCGGTGCATTTTTTATGCGTTTTACCATGTTCCAGTACAGTTCTGTGCAGAAAAAAATGCAGCATGTTCTAATTTTTTTTCTGCAACCGGAATGCACTGGTACTGACTTCACTGATGTGAACTATGACATTGACAACCATCTAGCCTACTTTCTGTGCGTTTTGGATGCAGAAAAAAAGCACCTGAAATGCATATAGTGTGAACTAGCCCTTAGTCAAGCACTGACCTCATCCTCTGTGTACAGCAACCGGCCATCCCTGGAGCCAAGCCCAGTGTGCAGGAAGATTTTGTGCAGGAAGATTACACCCTCCAGCAGCACGTAGCCTCCTCGGATTCCATAGCAGAGTCTCAGTAGGTTCCCATCCCTGCCACGTGTGTCCCTTCATCTGGGAGGCTGTGTCGCCCCCTTGCAAACGCCTTCTTTGCCTCGTGGTAAATATGCCACTGCAAAGGGCCAAAAAAAAAAACAGTTTTATAAATGGATGAATCAAATTGAAAGGGTTAGTTCACCTTTACAGAAAAAAAGTGAATCAACATTATACACCAGGGGTGTCAAACTGCGGCTGGAATCAGCATTATGGTTGTCCTCAAAGGGCTGGTTGTATCTGTAAGGCTAGATGTCCTAAGCACCCCCCCAACATCAGATGTCAAGAGCCCTCCGCCCAGGGGTGGACTGACAACTCATGGGGCCCCCAGGCAATAGGGGATCATGGGTCCCCTGTGTCCTTGCCCAAACTCAAAAAAGCCTATGAAAAAGGTACCAGGGGCATCTCATGGGGCCCCCTACTGACCCCGGGCCCTCGGGCACTGCCCGAGTTTCCAAATGGTCAGTCTGCCCCTGCCTCCGCCATTAGAAGCCAAGAGTCCCCCACCCTCCCTTACATCACAGTGCACCCTCCTTACCTTGTGCTGCTGCGGGGAAGAATCTGGGGGCGGAGCTGGGAAGTGGACAGTGTAGGGTCTGTAGGAGGACCAAAGGAGGGCTGGAGTCAGCTTCTGGAGTCTGCTGAATAGTGAAATCAGGGAAGGGTAGAGACAAGGGGGTGCTGCGGGTGCTCATGGAGGGGCAGGATCTGTAGGAGGAGTTCTGTCCTCCTCTCTGATGTAGACTGCTGAGTCCCCCACCCTCCCTAACATCACAGTGCACCCTCCTTACCTTGTGTTTCTGCTGGGAAGAAGCTGGGGGCGGAACTGGGAATCAGAAAGTGCAGGGTCTGTAGGAGGACTAGAGGAGGGCTGGAGTCAACTACAGGAGTCTGCTGAATAGTGAAATCAGGGCAGGTGGAGACAAGGGGGTGCTGGGGATGCACAGAGAGGCACAGGATGTGTAGGAGGAGTTATGTCCTCTTCTCTGATGTGGACTGCTTAGACAAGGTAGGGGGCAGAGGGGGAGTATCAAACCTTCAGAAGTGGTGTGGGGCCACAAAAAATGGCCTGGCGGGCCGGACATTGTCCTCAGGCCTTGTGTTTGACAAATGCACCATACACCTTCTCCACCCCCCCACCCAGTCCCTTCTGTACTTACTTTCATGGGTGATAAACCATCAGTGCCCACACAGCTGGTGTGGGAGATTTGAAATACCAGCTCTTCTTCCCCTTTCTTTCTGTAGGGCTTCTGCTGTGGATAAAAACGATTCCACTTGGTTAAAATGGTCAAGTGCTGGTGCGGAGCAATCAGAATGACTCTGATCCTTCCCAGAATTCCTACAACATGATAGTGAAGAACAGCGGGGATTTAAAATTCCTGGATCACTACACCAGCTACCTGGGCACTGACAGCTCATCACCCACAGAGGTAAATACAGCCGGGTCCGGTGGGGTGGTGAGACTGTAGGGTGTTAGTCTACCAATTCATTTTTTTTCTGAAAATGGGAAATTGCACTTAGAAAAAAAACTTCAGTAAAACAAAGGAAACACATTACAAATAAACTGGAATCCCTCCTCTCATCAGTGTCCCCATCAGAGTCCTCTTACATTGGAGTTCCCATCGAAATCACCTTTATATTGGAGTCTTCCTAATATTAAGGTCTCCCTTGCATCATAGCCATATTTGGGCAATGATGTCACTACTAGCCCCACCCCTTCCCTTATATAGCTGATGACAGCTTGGGGAGCTATCACTCGGCTAGTGGTATTGTCAGGATTGGCCGTGTGAACCAGGTTGTTCTTTTTGTCAGTGAGTCGGTGAATGAAAAGCATTGTGATGCAAATGAATTGGGGCCTTGTTGGAATTTCTATTTTTTAAAGGGGTTGTAAAGGGTGAAGGTTTTTACCTTCATGCAGTCCGTGTGCACCTCCTCCCCGCAGCTCCCCTAATACAAATCTGAGCCCGATCTTCATCCAGGGAATGCATGGGAGCCTCGACTCTCCCGGGGTCTCTCTCTCCTCATTGGCTGAGATAAAGCAGCGAATGGCTCCCACTGCTGTCAATCACAGCCAGTGAAGATGGAGCGGGGCGGAACTGAGCCACTCTCTGTGTGTCCCATAGACGCATAGAGCTGGCTTGGGAGCGAGCATGCATAAGTGCCCCCAAAGCAAGCAGTTTGCTCTGGGGGCACTCAGCAAGGGGGAGGGGCCACAAGTTCCAGTAGGGGACCCGAGAAGAGGAGGATCCGGGTTGTTCTTGCAAAACTCTTACACAGAGTAGGTAAGTATGACATGTTTATTATTTTAAAGAGAAAAAAAAACATTAACCTTTAGAACCACTTTATATAAGGATTCACCAAATGTTTTGGTTACTAATTTCAGGTTACATTTTTGGTGGATTGTCACATTTATATTTTTTGTGCACCTTTTTTTCGGATTTGTATTACACATCTCAAATTTGGACTGTTTTTTTGGACACTTTTTTTATATAAGAAAATTCTTTATATGTATTTATAAGTATTATTCACATGTATTATTCTTTGATAATATCTTTATATTTTTCTTTGCTCACAGGTATATTTTAATATTTATTTACTAGCGCAAATTATTTTTGTGTTACTTTTTTTTTTGCTTATCGGTATCTGGGATCCCCCTTATTGTTAAAAGAGGGGTTACAGGTTCTGATAAAACCCCAAATAATACTAGCCAGGTTGCAGGGAAGAAGCCCACAAGATGCTTTGCAAGGGGGATCCTCACAAGAAGGGGCGGACTGACAACTCATGGGGCCCCCGGGCAATAGGGGATCATGGGGGCCCCTGTGTCCTTGCCCAAACTCAAAAAAGCTTATGGAAAAGGTACCCGGGGCATCTTATGGGGCCCCCCTACTGACCCCGGGCCCTCAGGCAGTGCCCGAGTTTCCAAATAGTCAGTCCGCCTCTGCTC